ATTTCCTGGAATGAACAAGGATGTATTAAATCAGTAGTGTTTCTTGTGGCCTCTTAGTATTCCTGTCTGCTCTGTCTTGCCTTTCTTCCTTTGTTTCCAATTGACTTTACCTTAATATTTCCTATGTTTGTCAGCATGGACCACAACTTTAACATTATTTAAGCCCAGGTTTTTAAATTTAACTGGATGCAGAGGCAATTAATGAGGCCATCTGTCTTGGGAGAGAGGGAGAGAGAGCACACAAAAGATTGTGTTCCTCAAAGCACTATTTTTTTGGCAAACAAGGAATCCTATTAGACTCTCAGAACATTTGCTCACTAATTTCACAAGTGCCCACTTGAATGCAGTAGCTGGAAGGCTCAGATGCATTTCCTGGAAGTACAGGAGGCTTAGGAATTCTTTCAAGGTATATTTTAGAGAAAATATTGACCTTTGGAGCACTAGGAGCAGAGAGACATCTAATTCCTGTCTGATAGTCCTCACACCTGTCTGCCCTGCAGTCTGCTGCTCATTGTACTTCTGTTCTTGTGTTTTATTCTTTATTTCATGTAGAATTCTGAGCTGGAAGTCCCAGTGCTGGGTTGGCTGAGGAGGGTGGGAAGGCAGAGCCAACCCAACTGTGTGGCTCTCTGTGTGGTCCATCCCGAGCAATGCATGGGGCTGAGCACGGTCAGGTACCCCAGGATCTGCCTCAGGTGCCCTGAGCTCCTGGCTGTGAGCACCCCAGCAGAGGGGCAGAGAAAGCTGGGACTCCACACAATTCCCTGTTTGCCTCAGGAATCTATTTCTATTTCAGTTCTAAGCATCTGTGTCTTGTTCCCAAGGGAAAGGGAGATGTTTTCAGTGTCTTGGGGCAAGAAGTAGGTGCATAGTTTGGACTGAATCACTTCTGATTTCCACTTGGTTTTCCAAGACTGATCATTCAGAGCAAGGCCTAAACCCCTCCAACTGAAGTCTTGCTCAGTGTTAACTGTGTGGCTCAGATCCAACCTGTCCAGGAGCTGCACCTAAACCAATCCATTTCATTGTGCCATAGAATCATCAAGTTTGGAGGTGACCTCTAAAATCATCAAGTCCAACCATTAACCTGTCACTGCTGTAACCCCTAAACCCTAAACCAGATCCTCCAGCCCCAGATCCAGACACCTCTTAAACACCTCCAGGAATGGTGACTCCACCACCTCCCTGGGCAATATCCCAGTGCCTGAACATCCTCACAGGGAAAACATTTCTCCTAATATCTCCTCTGACTCTGCCCTGGCTCAGCTCAAGGCCATTCCCTCTAGTCCTCTCCCTGCAGCCTTGGCAGGACAGACATCCCACACCTCTCCACAACCCCTGGCAGGAGTTGCAGAGAGCCATGAGGTCACCCCTGAGCCTCTTCTCAAGGCTAACCAAGCACAACTCCCTCAGTCATCCCCCATGTGCTCTAGCCCTTTGCTGCCCTTGCTGCCCTTGTCTGGACTCACTCCAGTGCCTCAATGGCCTTGAGTGGGACTCAATTAATAAACTTCCTTACATGTCTTGCTCTGTGGACAGATAATTTGGAGAAGTGAGGTCCTAAGTCACCTTTTCCATGGGGCTCATGGCTCACAGAGCCCCAACCTTTGGTGAGAGAATGTTGGATAAACTGCTCAGGTCGGACATGTTCACACACACCTCCAAAAGTCTCTCCAGGCAGAGCATAGTATTTTCTAGGTGTTATTTTCAAACTAGTGTTTTCAATTAACATCTCCCAGTCTTGCACTGAGCAGGACTGAGGTTAGGGCAGCTCTAGAGCCCTAAAGCTTGAGGTTTGGGCAGCAGTAGACCATGCCAGCAGCTGCCACGAGATGGCAGCCGGCTCAGAGCCTCTGGAGTCATCAATTCTCTTGAAAATCTTCAAAGTCATAAAAGCAGCTCCTTCTCCAACGCCCAAGTTGCATTAATATTTTAGTAATTGACATTTTTACAGTATCATTCAAGCACTTCTTTAGAAATAACATGTGCTCTATCCAGTAACACAGACGTCGATACAAGGCACAGGTAAACCAGTTGAACAGGGGAAGGAGAAGCTGTAATTTAGTAACTCTTTAAGAATTTATGTTTCCTTCCCTGCTCAAGTTTATGCGTTAAAGCTGAAGCATTTTTATGGAAGCTGTAAAGAATTCCAGTATAATTGTGGCTCTATTCACTTGAGATGTGTTTGCCATGAAGAAGCTCTTAAGCTGTGTGTGCTGAAGGGGAGTCTCCTGGCAGCACTTGGCAGCCTGGGTAACAGGGAGTCATTCCATGCTTCATCATATTTCCTTGGACAAACAGCCAAGAAGTCTTGAAGGATGTATTTCTTACTGGTTTTTTACTAGTGGTGGGATTCTGGAAAGTCCTAACCTGTGCTTTGCTTAGCTTGACCTAAACCCACTCTTAAATCTATCTGAAATCTTAACTTCTACCTGTTACGTTTGAGCTTTCATTTGTGGTTTGAAACTCAAATATCAGTGTTAGATCTCACAACTGAGCTCTGTTCTGCTTTCATTTCTGAACAGAAGTGTTCCCCCCCACATTTCAGGGGGAAATTCCTTGTGTTTTGCTAATTTGCCATGTAATCCTATCAGGATGTGAAACTGTAAATACTTGGATTGTGTACATACAGCCCTTACCTCGAGAGGAGGTTTACAGTAGATATTAAGAAGAAATTCCTCCCTGTGAGGTGCTGAGACACTGGCACAGGTTGCCCAGAGCAGCTGTGGCTGCTCCATCCCTGGGAGTGTTCCAGGCCAGGTTGGATGGGGCTTGGAGCAGCCTGGGCTGGTGGAAGGTGTCCCTGCAGGGGGTGGAACTGGATGACCTTTAAGGTCCTTCTTATCCAAACCATTCCAGGATTCTGTGATTGTCCCATCCTCAGAAAATGAGGATGGACTCAATAATAGATGTTTATTTATTTGTATGGTTATATCATTCCTTCTCTTTACTTAAACTTGGCCTTTGCCCAGGCCTTCTGACAGTTCCTGATGTACTCTAGGAGGTGATAATTCACCTGGTTATGACCTCCACAGACATTGATTTATAGACTATGGAAATATGTTCATAAAATAAACAAAAACCCAACGACAGAACAGCACAGCACAGATTTTCAAGGTATTCTAGAAGCTTTGGACCTCCAGTTTTATTACTTTAAGGGAAGACCCATTGCAATCCAGTAGATGTTACTATGGATGGACATAGTCCTTGTTCAGAGCTACTAAAGTGTTGCTTAATGTCTGACTGCTACAATTTTGCAAAGAGCATTTGTGACCTTCAGGACATAGAAAGGGACTTGGAAATTGTTCCATTGAAGAATTCATCTAACTGATTACTAAGGATCTGGCATTTGAACTAAGAAAAATGGGGAAAATAGAGCCTTTACCCAAGCCCTGTGTGTTTCCCCTTTCTGTAGCAGCACAAAGGGGATTTAAAGGACACTTCTAGGTTTCCATGGCAAAAGGGAATCCCCTGCTAGGAAAAAGCTGGAATCTTATGCCATCTGATCCTTCCTCCTTTCTCCCCACGTTAGGGATGTTCTGGGACACATCCAGGGCAGGAAGGGACATGGCCACAATATTGTATTCTCTGACAATCCTGAGCCAGGAAAACAATCCTTGGGGGTGATCCCAGCTGGCACACAAAAATGACCATTTGGCTGCTTTAAGTTGCAACAGGGGTGGTTCAGCCCCAGGCTCAGGCCCAGAATGATGAGAGGAGATGGACAGGTGGCTTCCAGCCATGTTTGCCTTCCTCCTCCTCCTCCTCATGCTGGTGGAGACCTGCACCTCGGATTTAACAATGCAAAATAGCCAAGGTCTTTACTATGTAGAGCAGAACTGTGGCTGAAGCTTAAGGAGATGTTCAGAGCTCTGATTCTGTACAGTGTTAAAGAGCAGGGAAGGGGATGGACACCTCTCTTCACCCACCCTGTAGATCCAAGCCCTTAATTTTGTAGGCACTGGCATGAGATGATGAAGCCACATCTGAAACAACTAGCTGATTCCCTCAGAAAGCAAACAGAAACTCCTTAAAATAGGATTTGGTCACTCATGTTTTCCAGCACAAAACTTGCCTTGTTAAAAGCTTTTTCTCCTCTTCCCTCCTCTTATAGCCGCATCCCTGGGCAGAGCTGAGACTGGAGCTATCCCCTGGAGCAGAGGATCCAGGAGCACTTCTGTCCTTCCCAGAGCAGTGACTGGGAACATGCCAGTAGGCACTGGAGCCAGACTGGCATGCTGGGGGGTTGTTTAGATGATGTGAAATGTAGATACAAGTAATTAATTGGTCTCTTCTCTACCTCTGAAATGAAAACAATGTCACTTGCACGTCCTTTAATTTGAGTTACTGACAACAAGGGATTTGTTGAGGAACTCTTGCATGATGTATGTATTACTCCATGCTTGGTATGGTTTGAATCCCTGTGAGGGTGTAATGGGTTTGTCTAGTGCTAAGGTTTGCCAGGTTGCTTTTATTTATGCTGTATCTGCTGTTAAATGCTCAACCCATTCCCTGCATAGTGCCAGAACACCTCTCTGGTACTTACCCTGATGCACTTCAGTCACAAGGACATCTTTGCTTAACCTTTTTTATGCTCCACCTACAGCCCAACTTGCCTCCTGCCTCTCTTTATGCAGTAGCAAAGCTTCCTGGAAGTGCAGGTGTGGATTCTGAGGTCAGTGATGCAGGTATCAGGGTCTGGATTAGGAACAAACAGTCCTCAGATATCCAAGATTTTTGACACAGAGTCATCAGGGCTGGAGACCTCTGAGATCACATCCAGCCATCAACCTGCCACAGTCCCTGGTCCCCTGTGTAGCTCTGCTCCTTCTAGGGGCAAAGTGTTAATTGAGAATCTAAAACTCAACTCAAACAAGATCGGAGACATATTGACACAGATTTGTTGGCAATATTTATCAAAATTAATGTAACAGTCCTGCAACATGAATAGTTTATTATTCAGCTCATTGAGAAGGTTAGCACATACTGAAACAGTACAAATGGACAGGAAAGCTCCTTCCTGTCTGGCAGAAGTGATGATAAACAATAAATTATTGAAGAAAATTAAGGATTCTAATTGGGGAACATTCCCCTATTACTAAGTAAAGCCAACCATTAGCATCCCATTTGCATTTTACACCGTGCAGCAGGAAATATTTCAGTTGACAAATAGGATATTTAATCCAGCAACAGATACTTGGCAGTTAGATATTAACAACTGTTACTGGGGTGATTTATTCCCCATTATACAAAGGGCATTACTATGTGCATATGATTCTGAAATTAACTCCAGTTTTCCAAGAGGCCTTGGCTGCCTGACCCCTTAATATCCTTATAATGATGCCATTTACCATTCAAGGGCTTAGTCTAGTTGTTCACTGTGAGATGTGTTCTAAGGAGTGCACTGTAGGGCAGACACTGGTGTGTAGGAACATTTCTCACTGGTATAGTAAGCACAAGCATTTTTTAAGTGAGAAAAACTCATGGGGAAAACTAAGCTCTGGTTATTGGGGTGGAGCCTCACAGAAGCGATCCATGGTACTTCCCTCAGCCTCATAAATCCTGCCTGGAAAATTCTTTCTGAACTTACAGAAGAGTTCTTCTTGTTGCTGGTGAAGTGACTGTCCCTGGAGGTGTTAAAGGCCAGACTGGATGTGGCACTTAGTGCTGTGGTGGTCATAGGCTGGACTTGATGATCTCAGAGGTCTTTTCCAGCCTTAATGATTCTGTGATTCTGTTCCTATTTGGAAGTGATTTATAGAATTATAGACTCTGGAATGGTTTGGGTTGGAAAGGACCTTAAATCTCATCTCATTCCCCCCCCTGCCCTGGGCAGGGACATCTCCCACCAGCCCAGGTTGCTCCAAGCCCCATCCAACCTGGCCTGG